AAACTTCCCTACTTCATTATGAAATCTTCTCCCACAATTCTTCATACAAGCTTCTAGCACCTGCATTCAAGTAACAAAAACAGGGGCTGAAACGAACACCAAAACCCTACAATAACAGCGTAGCTTGTCGGGGAACTGAAGGACCCATGTCAGCGAGACACGTATTCCTGCTCTGCCATACAGGCACGAAGCTCCCATCTTTAGGGGTGACACATCACGACAGGCTGGTCTCCCACCCTCAGCCACGTATACATGGGTCTAAGTTATCTCACCGTGAGGTCTCTTAACCATGAACACAAATCTTGCCTGGAGATAACAAACGGAAGCAGCTAAAACTCACCAGAGTTATTTCTGACTGCTCTGTGGCTAACGAGCAATCTGGCCACTTCAGTTACCTAGCTGCGCTCCCTCTCGCTGTCTGCTCCCTCCCGGCAGTGGGAAATCAGGGCATTCAGCCCCAAAACCAGCCCAGCTAACCCCACTGACTCACGCTGTGCCCCCCTTATACTCCGCACAATGACGTAAAATGATATATAACTGGATTTGAGAGGAGGGTTAAGGACTACCTACTGTCAAGGCTTGGACGGCCTCCCATTCCTGGGGTGACTGGATTTTATGAGCCAGGAGTCTCACAGCTATCTGTGGCCTGAAACAGAGCAGATCCCCGTTACAAACAAAGCAGGCGAACACGCTGAAGGATTTTCAGGCTTTCACAAATTCTGCTGCTTAAATGAGATGTCTTTCACATAACTAAAAGGAAATGCCATTTAGTACTTTTCATCTTCCCATCAGTGTACAAAGGCCAACAAGAAATGTTCAGGGCACCTTTGTAAGCCTGGGTGTCTGCGCGTATGAAAGGAAGCGAGGGCTGGTAGTCTGAGCCAGCAATTCCAGATTCCTCCTTGGGAGGGGCCAAACAACTCCCAGTACAGTCCCCAGCCCAGGAAATCGCCTCATTTCTGTTGCATTAGTTTCCTTTTTCCAGAAGAAAACACATTTCTTCCTTAGCCCACAGGAATGCTGCGACCCAGGAGGTTTCCTCAGTTAAGCCTTGCAAAGATTTTAAAGATGTGAAGCCCCATCAGGCACTAAGTGTTATAACCCCATTTTACAGACTGGCAAACAGAATAACTTTGGCTGGATGAGAACCCTGCAGCTGCAGAAGCTGACATTGGAGGCGGATTCACAGCTCCCATTTTCCTAGCGCTCAGTCTGTGTATAAGCCATGCTGCCTTTCGCAGAAGAGAAACCACACTTCACAGCATCTTGTTTCTTTTGTAGCAAGATCTTCCTTGCGATATCGGTATATATAAAAGAAAACATGTCAGTTTGATGATCAAATGATTTTTAAAACTATTATTTTAAACTGTGAATGTTAATTTATTAAGTCTAGAGCGGTTTGGGACACCCACCCTTCAAGTTCTTTGTTGATCTGGTCACAGAATCCGATGATGTATTCCCAGTCTTCTTGCCTGTTAGATGGTAAAGAGAACATATTATCAGTCAAGCAAAATAAACAGTACAAGAGGTCATGCATTTCCTAGCGAAAAGCATTCGACATCCATTGCCAGCTATAAAAAAGAAGAAAGAAGTTCACGCACGGTACATCTGCTCAGGGAAAAGGGTGTGTCCAAGTTGAGACATCCAAATATCCAGCAAGAATTGCTGCTTTCCACAAAAAAGAGGTGCCAAATCTCAAGGACTTCGAAACACGCTATTTCCCTACTCTAAATGAGAGTACAAGATAAAATATTTGAGCTCGCACAGTTTCCCTCTGCCTGAAATGCCATCTCTTTCTATTTAGCTGCAACATTAAACTCCTTAAAGGCTAAACCCTCGCACTTTCTACATCGGAAATTATTTCTGTATTCCCTGGGAGTTTTGTAGAAGTGAGAGCTGGAACATCAGATGTCATTTAGCATTAACACTTGTTTTTAGAACGCCAGCTGATTTGTTAGATGCCTTGGCATTTCTCCTGGGAATTATGAACTGAAATTTATTATTATACTTTGAGTTGTTCTTGCAAGTAATAAACACCGCAGCCCGTACCCGATCAGGAATTCAAATCCCGTATGCTCAAACTGAGACCGATGCTCTACTGACTGAGCTATTTCAGGCTCCTGAAGGATCCTCCCTCGGGTACCAGGGCCTCGCTTATTGTACTGATTGCAGAATAGACAGGCTATCAGCATCTTTTTTTTGTTATGAATGCATCTTTTCCACGTATTCTACTTAACTCCGATGGAGTACTGAATTTACAGTAGACAAGATTCCTGCTTTAACCTAATTTTCCAGCCAAGATGACTGGAAATAATGATTTTTCTTTCTTGTAAGGGAAGAAACAACACACTGGAGCTATATATCTAAGGGCTGGCATTTAAGAAGCCTTCCTCAAAATTTTAATGCAATGGAAATAGATACAGAAAAGAAAATATTGCTTAGCCAGATAGTATAGAGCCAGGAAAGAAGGACAGGAGAAAAACCAGCACACATCCCTGTACTTTCATCACAGAGGGAAGCATAACGAAATAAGCACATGCTACATTACAAAGTATCGGGTTTTATCATCATTAAAACATATCCTTCTCCCTTTCCACAGGCAGATAAAAGCAGCTGTCAAATATCTACTCCGAAACCTCACTTTCACAGTGCACCTTAGTCCTCCTACTGCGGCAGTCCTACAAGGTCTGCTCGTATTTTCCTCCTCACGAAAGGGTAGTTGTAAAGCAATTTCGTAAATTGTTCCATGGGTTGCACCTGCAGAGGCGAATCTCCGTGCCCGCTGCTGACGTTCGTGGGACCCTAGATAAGCAAAAGGCGGCAGCCAGGGATGGCTAACTGCGGGATCGCATCTTGCTGCACTAGCTACGCTACCAAGCTATTTTTTGAACTCAGGAGATTCAAGGGAGGCTTAGTTTAAAACGCAGCTGCTGCAAAGCCAAGCAACTGTTCAAAACATGTGGCAC